GCTCGGGTTTCCAATTACTCTCTTCAAAAGGGAGAGAAAAAATTGGAACGGGATCGTTCTCCTCCTGTGCCGCGGTTTTTATTGTGGCCGTAATGATCCAGCCTGGCCATCGTCCACTCCACTCCTTCTCGCCTTGCAGCTCCCTCCCCGAACAAACGCTACTTGGTTGCCGTTAATTGGGAGCAGCCAAAATAACTGAATCCCCCGGAGATGGAGGGTGAGGACAGAATCTCAACGAGACGCCCCGACGATGAATGTGGCTTTCAGCTGCTCCTATGCCCCCGTGAAGGGAAAAGAATGGGGGCTCTGTGAAAGTGAAACAGCCAGTGCTGACCTTGGGTTTCTGGGTTGGTTTTTTTTTGTTGGGGTTTTTTTTCTTTCCCCTTTCTCTTTTCTAACGTTAATTGCTCGTCGCTTTGTCCATCACATGATCGGTGGAAATTGCCAACTTGTTCTCACTCGTTAATGTCACAAGTTCGGTTTAAAATAAGCAGTCTACCAGGTTCCCGATTTAGTGCTGCTTATCCGAATATCAGATGCGTTTCTTGTGATTTTGGACTATTATTTTGAAAATCTCTGACCCTCCCTCAGCTCATTCAAAACGGGCATTTTCCAGCTATGAAAGCCCGCCTGGAATAATCTCTCCTGCCTGCTGCTGTCAGAGACATCTGCAGTGTCTCACCTCTTCTTAGCGCTGCTCAATGGTGATGCTTGAGCTCTCAGGATGAGAGGCCTTGGCAAAATCCTGGCACTGGCACACACCAACCGAGCCAGAGCCAGCCTGTGCCTGGTACAGAAGCTGCTCGTCTCTCGTATCCTCGTCAGCATGCAAAGCAGGCAGGCCACGGGTGGTGGAAGGGGCGATGTGCCCCCTGCATCGGCATACATCTGGACACCCAGGCTTGATTGCCGTCTTCCCGTGTGTATTTGGTTGGCTTTGCTTTTTGCAGGCAGGATAATGGAAAGGTAGGGGTTGGAAGGGACCTCTGAAGATCATCCAGTGCAACCCCCCTGTTAGAGCAGGATCACTCAGAGAAGATCACACAGGAACACGTCCAGGGGTTTGAATGTGTCCAGAGAAGGAGGCTCCACAACCTCTCTGGGCAGCCTGGTCCAGGGCTCTGGTACCCTCACAGTAAAGAAGTTTTTCCTTATGTTTAGGTTAAACCTCCTGTGTTCCAGTTTGTGACCACTGCCCCTTGTCTTGTCACTGGGCACAGCCCAGAAAAGTCAGGTCTCTCCAGCTCACCTGCCCAGTCTGTGCCGTATCTGTTGTTCAATTCCCAATATCCTGGGGTCTGCACTAGCGTTAGCCTGTGTTCTCCAAGAGGTGGGGAGCTTCAGCATGGCTTTTTTCCTTGTACCTTGCCACCGTGATCCCCATCTCCACCATCGGCTCCTAAATACCTTTTCAGAGGGTTTTCCAGCATCCTGCTGGGATGAACTGGGATGAAGATTCAGCAGTGGGCCCAAATCCTTGGACCACTGTCATGGTTTATACAGTTGTTCTGCCACCCGATGACTCTTACCTACCCAGGGTGGGGAGTTGGGAAAAGGAAAGGAGACCTGGGGGTTGAAATAGAAATAGATTTAATAAAATAATAACAATAAAACATAATAACAGTAAGAGTTATACTCAGCCAATACTGTGGGGCAGTAGGCCTCAGGGGTAGGACAGCAGATGAGTTCCTCTTGAAATGTCAGCCATGGAAGAAGGAATAGAGAAGAAGAAGGGCTGTCCCCAGCAAACTCCCCAATTTATAGTGAACGTTAAGTTTATGGTATGGAATAATACTAACTGGTCAGCTTGGGGTCAGTTACCCTGGGTTTCCGCTTCCCCCAGCCTCAGTACCTGTTTATTTCAAGACCACTGAAGACCTTGATCATCACATACCAGTATTAGCTGAAAAACTATGACAAAGTGTCTTATCACTTTGTTCCCATGAAATAAAGTGTTGTAGTCCTAACAGAATCACAGTATTCCTCAACAGAAACACTTGACTGTAAAATTCTGTCCCAGTAAACCAAGACAACCACACATAGACAGAGGGGAGCTGGGAGATGGTGAGTGTGGGTCCCAGCCCTTTTGCTTGGGTTGTATCAGTGCAGACGCTGGGAGAGGTGTAAAATGCATCATGGGAGCTTAATGGACAGGGCAGAGGAGCTTTGGACACAGAGAGCACTTCAGAGTCTGTACTCACATCTCTGCATAGGGCAAATCCTGGAGATCCGCAGCTGGAGACAGCAGATGTCTTAGTGCAGCAGTAAAGAAGATGCAGCCAGTGTGGGAAGAGTTCAATTTTTGCTCTCTTGTTTAAAATGCACAAACAAGAGCATCTGTTAGATGCGGAAATTAGATGAGGAAATCAAACACTTGGTATTGACACATCCATAAAATATCCCTGTGCTTCCTACCACGACATGCTCAGTCTCCAGCCAAGGAGATATAGAGCAATAGAGGGCAAGTACTACAGTGCTGCATAGCCAGGGATGGTCGTCTTGCTTGGCCTTTGCTTTATGCTGAAGGTCTAGAGTAAGTTGGATGAATGAGCCTTTCTTTCTTCATTGGCTACGAGGAGCCAGAGTAGCCTGGCTGTATGTTAGGGGAGGGAAGTGTTCACAGAATCACAGAATCATCATGTCCAACCGCTCCTGTCTACCCCCTAAACCATATCCTTAAGTACCTCATCTGCCCGCTTTTTAAACACATCCAGGGATGGTGACTCCACCACCTCCCTGGGCAGCCTGTTCCAGCTTCTGACGACCCTCTCAGGAAAGAACTTCCTCCTTATCTCTATCCTGAACCTCCCTTGGCACAGCTTGGTGCCGTTTCCCCTTGTTCTATCCCCCATCACCTGGGAGAAGAGACCAGCACCCACCTCTCTCCAAGCTCCCTTGAGGCAGTTGTAGGTGGTGATGAGGTCTCCCCTCAGCCTTCTCTTCTCCAGGCTAAACAAGCCCAGTTCCCTCAGCCGCTCCTCATCAGGCTTGTTCTCCAGAGCCCTCCCCATCCTTGTGGCTCTTCTCTGAACACGCTCCAGAATCTCAACATCCTTCTTCTAGTGAGGGGCCCAGAACTGAACACAGCACTCGAGGTGCGGCCTCACCAGTGCCAAGTACAGGGGGATGATCACCTCCCTGGACCTGCTGGTCACACTGTTTTTAATGAGGGGTGTTGCCCCTCATTCACACCATCCCCTCATAGGAGTGCCCCAGGGCCAAAATTTGACTCCCTAAATATTGGCATATATCCCCATACACAAGCTGCTGAATGAACTGTGCATCACCATCAGAGATCTGGGCCCCACAGACCCTTAGGGGAGAAACAAAGTCTTTGTGAACCTGCACAACATAAACCCCCCAGCAAGGGAGCTATCTTCAGTCTTGTGCATCTGCAGAATTGGCTGGAAAATGTAACTGAATTATGACAGCTCCCATCTGTTACAATACGGAAGCAACGTGAAAATATTTTGTTATCAGAGGCTTTAGGTTGTGGGAGGAAGTGGGACGTGCAACCTGGTTCAGAGTCTGATCTGACTTTGTGCTGTCTCGCCCTGGCACTCTTTGACAGGTCCTGTCTTTGCTTTCACTCTCTGTGCTTAACACCTTCCCATCCTCCACATCTCCACCCTGGTGTGGGTCTTCCATCATGTTCCCCTCTGTGTCACCTCTGGCAGCAGCTGGTATCTGATGCAATAGAAACAAAATAAGCCATTTCCCACACTCAAGCAAAATACTGATTTACTTATTTTTGGCTGTCTCCATCCACTGCAGCTTTGGTTGGGTGCATATAAGCTTAGGAGTTAGGTCCCACTCCTGCAAACGTGTGTGTTTGCTGCACAGGGGTGACCACAGCCCTGCACGATCTGGTGGGGCTCCATCAGCATCAAATTCAGTTCATGGGCATCTGTGTGATGAGTTCTCCCCTTTTTTGAGTGGCATAAACACCAGCAGGGGAAAGAAATATCTAGAGTGGAAGGGAAATGGAGGGTACTGGGAGTGAATTCAATGCTGCGAGGTTGTCTCCAGGCATTTGGATTCTGTTGTGCCCTGAATCTGAATCTTGTCAGCCAGAGCTTAGCGACTCTGGAGGTTGCCAAGGAGCAGAACAGAGCAGGCAGAGGAGTGCCTAGCGCTGGGGTTTGGCTGCTCTCAGCATCCAGGCACATCTCCTCTCACAGTCCCTCAGCATGGCTCTGTGGATGCTCCCAAGGCTTCCATGCTATACCCAAACTGCAGCCAGCTCTCATGCGGAGTCCCTTGTTTCTCCATCACCTCCCAGTTCTGCTGCTTCTTATATGTGGAGGGATGAGGGCTGCAGGTTTGGGACCGTGTACTTCTCCCCTTTTCCCTCTTCCGTACTCACTGCAGCAGCCCCAGGCGTGCAACCCATGTACAAGTCGTGTGGCAGGCAGGCCAGGCTTATTTGCAACCTCCACGATTTGGTTGGAACCCTCTTTGCATAGGTGCAGAAAGGCAAGTTATCCCTTTGGTGACTAATTACCCCCCAATTTTGTCTCTGAGCAATTTATTCTGGGGAAAGGGGTGATAAATCCCCTCTGCAAATCACCACATGCTTTCTTGACATCTAACTGCTTCTTGCACCCCGTTATTGGTAGCTTCTGGCTGCTCCTAAATGTGCTCCAAGCTGAGCATCTGAGGAAGTGGGGAGGAAGGGCAGACCTGTGACATTGCTGTGCCCATCTGACATAGACTGAACTGCAAGGACAGGGCTGTGTCATCCTTCTCCATGCTGAATTTAGGTCTGCCAAGTCAAGAAAAGCCCCTTTCCCTAAGAGCACGGCTGGCGTCTCAATAGCACTGTGGTTCATCCCACCCAGGAATGGCAGCATGCTCTTCTCCGCAATGGACTCGATGATCTTAAAGGTCTTTTCCAACCAAAACCACTCTATGATTAATATTTCTTCTTTCTCCCTCCCTCACAGAGCACGAAGACAACATTCCCCAGAGCCGGGCTCTCAGCCGCCGCAGGCAGCGAGATGACAGCCATCCTGGAGCGGATCAGCACGCTGTCCCTCAGCGGGCAGCATCTCAGCCGTCTCCCCAGGCTGCTGGAGGATGGCTTCCCCAAGATGCCTTGCACGGTCAAAGAGTGCGAGGTGCCACAGCTCTTCCGTGAGCCGTACATCCACGCCGGGTACCGTCCCACCGACCAGGACTGGCGGTACTACTTCCTTAGCCTCTTCCAGAAGCACAACGAGGTGGTCAACGTCTGGACTCATCTCCTGGCAGCGCTGGCCGTGCTGCTGAGATTCAAGACGTTTGTGGAGGCTGAGCAGTTACCCGTAGACGCGTGGTCCTTGCCTTTGCTCATCTTTGTCCTCTCCTCTGTCACCTACCTGACCTGCAGCCTCTTGGCCCACCTTCTGCAGTCCAAGTCTGAGCTGTACCACTACACCTTCTACTTCGTGGACTATGTTGGAGTCAGCATCTACCAGTACGGTAGTGCACTGGCCCATTTCTATTACAGCTCCGACCAAGCCTGGTACGACAAGTTTTGGCTTTTCTTCCTGCCGGCAGCTGCTTTCTGTGGCTGGCTGTCCTGTGCCGGCTGCTGCTACGCGAAGTATCGGTACCGACGGCCTTACCCCATCATGAGGAAGATGTGCCAGGTGATCCCAGCTGGGCTGGCCTTCATCTTGGATATCAGTCCTGTGGCTCATCGGGTGGTTGTGTGTCACCTGGGGGGCTGTGAGGAAGATGCTGCTTGGTACCACACGTACCAGATACTGTTTTTCCTTATCAGTGCTTACTTCTTCTCCTGCCCAGTCCCCGAGAAGTACTTCCCTGGTTCCTGCGATATCGTTGGCCATGCCCACCAGATCTTCCACACCTTCCTGGCCATCTGCACCCTATCGCAGCTGGAGGCCATCCTTTTGGATTACAAGAACAGACAGGAGATTTTCCTGAAGAGACACGGCCCTTTCTCCATGTATCTCTCCTGCATCTCATTTTTTGGCCTGGTGGCTTGCAGCGCCATCACAGCTTACATCCTGCGATGCAGGATCAAGGCCAGCCTGGCTAAAAAAGACTCCTGAGAGTCACGAACGTGACGGGCACAACATCACCAGGGTGGTGAAAAATCAAGAAAAGGGGCATAACATATTAGAGACATAACTGGCTTATTTGCCTAACATGCTGTGACTAACCTGGACCCTGGAATCGGGTGGAGGGCTGGAGACTTCATGCTGGATGCATTTTCACAGCAGGGGCTGCCTTCTGCCATGCAGGGGGACCTAGGGTGTTAGAAGCCAGAAGAAATCACTTAACCAAGGATGCTGGACTAGGCAGAGGTTTCTTGTTCATTCTGGTAAACCTGTGGGGTGGTATCTTGCTGGATGTCAGGGAGGGCAGCCTGAAGGTGGTGAGGCTGTAGAAGGGTCTGCATGTGTGGTGGTATCATCCTTTTCCTGCTCCAGCTTGGCTAAGCCAGGTTCTCTCTGTGGTCCCATGGTCAAGTATCTCAATGCCAGGTTGCTGAGGTGGCTTTAGCAAAGCATGTTTGGAGATTTAGGCCTTACCTGGGGTCCTCTAGGACGAACTGGGTCTGAACCTGCACCCTGCATGTGCCAGTGGGATCAGCACAGGTAGAGATGTTGGTCAGCTCTGTCTTCTCTTTTGGTATAACTGCACCATCTGCAGTGGAGCTGCTCATCAAAACCAAGGAGTCAGGCTGTCCCAAGGATTACTAACAGGAGATGGAGTCTTTCTCAGCAGTTCAAGTTTGACCTGAGGTAGAGGCAGTGCTGGCAGCTGTTTGGTAGCCTACAGGAGATGTCTTCAAAGGCTCCTCGCTTTCATTTTAAGTGCTTAGTTGCCTTTGAGGAGCTGGGCTTGGGTCAGGTTGGAGATGGTTTTGAACCTTCCTCAGTAGCATTGAGCACTCCTGAGGCTGTCAGCATTCAGGGTGCTGGCCCCAGGAAAGGAGATGCTTTTGATGCTGGCTGCATAATTTTTGCTGCTTGTATGACAGTTTCTTGCATTTCTGTATAGACTGACTATGCATCATCTCTCTGGGGAGTCTGACTGACCTCCAACGATGGCCATGCAGTGTGGAGTTACTTGGCTGTGACCTGGCTGGTACGGGAAAGGCTCTGGGCCCTGGGCCTCCAACAGCCCTGCTATGGTCATGGCCAAAAGGGTATGAAAGTGAAGGAGTCTTTATTCCCTTCTTAATGGTGCTTTCCAGGACACCAAACAGTCCTTGGTGGGCCTCATGGGAAAGCTGATCTTGAAGCTGCAGGGTTGCTTTTCTCTGACCAATGGGGATGTGAATCTAGCACATTTTTATCAGCACCAGATGAAGGTAGAACAGCAAAAAGCAGGAGCAGAGTGACAGCATTAGGGTCCTATGCAACCTTGGGACAAGTTTGTGCTTGAGACTTGGTGATTTCTGTGCGGAATAGCAATGGTAGTGGTCAGGGAGATGTAATGTCCATGAGTCCAAGGTGTAGAAAGGGTTGGTTTACTGCGTTCCCCACTAGATGAGCCTCTTCTGTGATTGCTTGGGGGAAATACAGATATGGAGCCACGCTGGTGCACTGAAGTTGGCAGCACTTGCAAGATAGGATGCTCAGAGCCAACGCAGAGATCTGGTCCCAGCACTTGCTTTCCATAACAAACCCTAGGATGGCTCCTCCCAGCTATACGCTGTGCAAGACCTGCAACCTCAAATGCCTTGACATCTGGCAAATTCCTAGGAGATATAAATCTTTGCTGAAAGCAAGGAAGCCATGGGATCTGTTCCAGCCGCAGATTTGTCTCTCCGCATCCAAGGGCAGGCGAATGAATTGTGATTGCTGGTTCTGAGCAGGCAGAGTTGAGGGTTGGGGGTATTATTTGTCATGACAAGCACTGATTTCTGCACTTGATCTGGTTTTTAACTTTTGACATGTGTGTGTGTTTGTGTATGTGTGTGCTTGTGTTTTATTACCCAGAAAGGCTTTGCCTTTGGCTTTTATATCTTCCGAGCCTCCTAGCTGGGTCAAGATGAGCCTGAAGGAAACAGGGTGATCTGTGCTGCTGGAGGAGAAAGGTGGGCTGGACAACAGCATCTCTGAAGACAGATCTGTTATTAGGTGCCTTGCTGTGTCCTGTTTTGCGGAAAGATTTGAAGCTCGTGGCCCTATTGATAAATGAAATACAAAGGGGAAGGGAAGTAAGTTTTGAGTACAGGAGAAGAAATCATAGGAAACCCTTCAGGAGGTCACTCTAGGTCTAGGCTTCCTGGTTTACATCCAGTCCAGCTTAGAAATTAATTATTTCATTTCCTACGGTGTATTTTGCTGGTACAGCCATGCTGACCTAACAGTACATTTGCTTCAGACGAGTGGCAAGTGGGAATGGTCCCACTTACACCTCGTCATTCCCCTTCCCTTGCATAGAAGCTCATCTGACCACAGAGCGAGCCAGTGCTGGGAGATGGACCAGCGGAAAACCAATCCTACTGAAAACATGTCAGTAATTTTCTGCTGGTTTTAGCTTTCAGCCATCCCACTTGGACAGCACGGAAAGGCCGGAGCGGAGGGCAGCAGCAGTTCCTCCTTAGCTTAGCTGCACTGATGGACTGCTCCCTCCGTGGTCTCCATGGCTTTGCTTGTGGGTCTCCTCCAAGTTCAGGGAAAGACATCTATTGGAGCAGTGCTTTACTTACAGCTTAATTTGCCTTGCTTCTGTGGTAGGTAAAGCAGAATAAGCTGCTGGGTGTGGATCTGGCTGGATGGTATCAGTGGGCTCCTGTGCAGGAAGGAGAGTCAACCAGGCTGGTCCAGAGCTCCTTTCTGAGATAAAACCGAGCAGGAGTGGGCATGGCTGCTAATAGCAAACCCTGCTCTGCTGCTATCCAGAGTTGCACTGGTACCAAAGGATGGGATCACCCCGGTGTTTCCTCCTCTAAGGGTTTGAAAACAGATGATGTGTCCTGCCCTTGTCAAAGGAGGATGAGTACAGTAATGCCATCCAGTTCTGGGACAGGAGGTGCCCACATGGCTCTTCTGAGGTATTTCTGGTCATGTCTTCTCCTCCCTGGTCTGGCAGAAGTGAAACTTCTCTTTCTGGAGCAACTGTGAGACAGTGGTGGTGTTTTTACATATTCTCATGTTACCCTCAGGTGAAGCCACTCACGTCCCCGTGTGGCCCTGCACCCAGACCTGGAGCTGACCTCCTGGTTACTATGATGGGTTGGTTTAGCAGGGAACTCCAACACAGATCACTGCTGCTGTGAGGATGCACCCTTGTGTCCCAAGGGGTTCACCAACACTGGAGCTTCCTTCATCCCTGTCTCCATCCTCCTCTTCTTCCAACCAGTTTATTTCTTTCCCTTATTCCCAGATTTCATCCTTGTGCCTTACACACGTGGCTGCCTACCTGGGCAGAGTCCACACGCCGTGCAGTCTGCTGCACCTCAGCTGAGCCAGGACTGGAAAGTGGCTGCTGATGCCCTCCTGAAAGCCCTTGCTGTTGATCTAGGGGAGACCAGGGCTGGGTCCAGAGAGAGGAAAAGTGCCACTGTGGTAACTTCTCAGCTCGTCTGAGAGCCTCCCAGGGCCTTCTCCTTGGGCTCAGTGCTTGGAGCACACCTCCTTCCGTCCTGGTGTTCCTCTGAGGAGGCACGGCTGGGAGGGGTGCACCAGTGGCAGGGTTTGGTGAAGAGCTGACCACCAAAGGCTGAGCACATCTGAGATCCTGAAGGGACTGAGGTCCTAACCCTCTCCTCCAGGAATCTCTGGTACTGAGACAGTATTTTTGCAGGTCTTGCAACCTGGATCTGTACAGGACAGCTCCTGAAAATTCATCCCAATGTGCCTTATGCTTTTTCTTTTTTGAGATTCATCCTGAAGGAACCTGAGGCTCAGGGGCAGCCTCTGCTGTCTGCAGCTCCACGGTTGCTTTTAACAGCTGCTCCCCACTGACAGAATTCGCTTGGTGTACAGAGCAGAAGGGGAGGATGGAGAGAGGTGCCTTAAACTTGTATTTATGCCTAATGATTTGTGTAACAAGGCAAGGACGGGTTCCTCGTGTGCCTTGCAATTTACATCTTTTACTGACAAGATGATTTTTAAGCACTGTTTGTTACTAAATAGAAATACAAAAGAGTTTGTATTTTTTTTTCCCTGGGAAACAGGGAAGGGTTTGAGCACTGCATATTAACCATCCCCTTCCCAGCTCCCATCTGCTGACTTTGTATTATTGAAAACATTGATAATATTTTAAGCTTTGTACTGTGCTGATCCTTATTTAAAAACCTTAGTGAAAAAAAAAGAAATCTGTAAAAGCAAAACAATTGGTGTAGTGTGAAATTCCCAAATGCACAACTACAGAAGGTTATGAGTCATTAGGAAGAAAAGTGGATAATAATTATAGAGTGGATATGGTAGAGTGGATAATAATAATAACAATTATAAACAATAGGACGTGGTTTTATCTGTGCATCTCAAAGCACTTTCCAGGTTTCACAGTAACTGATTTTCATTCCCTTTTCACAAGGCAGGTGCAGAGTGGCTGCCCTGACACTGATTAGAGGGATTTAAGTTCATCATCCACAAAAGTACTTGGGTATCCAGTTTTCCTTAATTTCTGTCAGAGGTGAGTAGAGATTTAGTGGCCTGGCACCAAAGCAGCGCAGTTTCAGTGGCCAAACTGTGAATGCAGGTGTCTGTTCAAGCAAAAACATTTCAGTGCATGCTTAAAATTAAGCTGAAGAGAAAGAACCATTGATGGAGAGAATGCACCCTCCCTTCAGGTGTTTATATACATTGATATATATTTATATACATTAATAAGATCCCCCTAGAGCCTTCTCTTCTCCAGGCTGAACAGTCCCAGCTCTTTCAGCCTTTCCTCATAGAAGAGATGCTCCAGTCCCTTAATCATCTTGGTGGTCCTTTGTTGGACTCTCTCCACTATGCCCATGTCTGTTTTGGACTGGGGAGCCCAGAGCTGGACACAGCACTCCAGGTGTGGCCTCACCAGTGGTCTTCTCTTTAATCCTTACCCATAAGCTCCCATCATCCAGGCAGAGCTCCATGCACTCCAGCTGTTTTGTCACATAAAGGGCAACCCACCCTCCTTATCTTCTCCACCAGTCCTTCCTAAAGAGCCTGTATCGCTCCATCACAACACTGGAGTCACAGGAGTCATCCCACCATGTCTTTCTGATCCCAGCAAGAATGTAGCCCTGCAGATCTCCAACTCATTGTCTGTAGTCCCCATGCTGCCTGCATTAGTCTACCTGCACTTCAGAGATACCCCAGCACCCAGAAAGGGTTTGGAGGATTTCTCCATAATTGTGCCTTGTAGGCACTTCCTTGCTTACCTGTGAATGTTGGAGGTGACCCCGCTTAAGCCTTGTTTTGTTGATTTTGTGATCTCTTTCTGTCACATCACTCCGGGTCCTCTGCTCATCAACCTTGTCCATCACTCTTTCACACAGTGTCTCCATTTCATCAGTTGTTCTGTCACCCACTGACCCTTCCCCACCTGAAAAGGGGAGTTGGGAAAAGAAAGGGAGGCCTGTGGGTTGAAATGGAAGCAGATTTAATAAAATAATAATAAAAATCTAATACTAATACTAATAAAAAGTAGACAAAGTTATACTCAGCCTGTATAATGGTTGCAAGCTGTGTACTCCCAGCAGTGAATGCCAGATATCGAGTACCACAGCTCCAGCAAAGCACAACAGTCACAACAAACATGAGAATAGGCCTCAGGGGCAGAATGATGGACAAGACCCCTCAGGGATGACAACCATTGAGGAAGAGACCATACCCAACCAACCTTCCAATTTACTGTGAGTGTGATGTTTATGGTATGGGATATTTCTGTTGGCCAGCTTGGGTCAGCAGCTCTGGCTTTCGCTCCTCCTGGCTACCTCAAAACTGCTAAAGACCTTGATCGCTATCGCAACCCGCATACCAGGGCTGGCCAAAAACTAAAAGTATCTTATCAACATCGTTCCCACTGAATCAGTTGCTGCAGTCATCTCAAAAATGCAGCTTTCCTGAATAGAAAATGGATTCAACGATTCTATCCCAGTGAAATCAGGACACAGGGCTGCTGGTAACTCTGCTCCGTCATCCCTACTTCAAACCCTCTTTACCAGGAGGATCGTGTGTGATGGTGTACGTACCCCATCCCCCAGGATATACACTCGGTGTGAATTTCAGTCCTCTACAGAATCTGCTTTTTTTCCCTTCTATTTCCACCACGCTAAAAGGTTTAATTATTATTCCTTTAACACACAGACCAGGACTTCTGTACCGTTGTGTTTTTACCCACCAGAGGGCGAGATGTCTTCATCCATGGCCGCAGAGAGGCCTCCAGTGCCACGAAAGCAGAGCCCTTAGCGCTAGCTTTCCAGACGGGCTTAGGAAAAAATGCTCCCATTCAAGCAGGCGTGCAGCCAACTCTGCAAAGAGATGCATTTCTGAGTGAGGGATGTGCTTTGCAAACGTCTCGCCCACAGCATAAGTGACAGGGATTTCACCAGATGAGTTAAGCCAAAGTTTTAAGTTTCCATGAAGTAAACTGGAGAGGAATGGGAGAAAATACCAAAACAGAAAAACAGGACTGTTAACTTTTTAAACTAGAAACACAAATAGAGACTTGTGGTATGCTGAGAACTGCTTGGTGATACTGTTTTAGGGAACACATTTACTACATGCACATCATGACCTGATACAACACACACATCCTTGATGTGTGAAAAGCCAGAGGTGTTTATTAGCAGAAGAGGGAACTGGCCTATCCAAAGCACATGAAGCCAAATGCAAAAAAGTAAAAGAGCTTCCATGTCAAAGGAAGGAGGCATTTGGTTTCGCTCATGTCACAAGCCAAAAAGGAGAGAATGTGAGAGAAGGTAATGATGATTTTTACTTCAAGCGCCAGATGTTGCAGCAGCGAGTGCCTCAGAAGGGTTCTTTAACTCAATGTCAGTCTTTATCTGCTCTTATCCTTGCAGCTGTCTGATAACATGAGCTAAGGGGCAGAGCATTAACAAATAGCTCTAAGTGAGATGTTGCCTTCTTTGCTCTGTTAAGCAGCTGTTGAAGATGGTCTCAGAGACTTAAGTCAGTGGAGGAACGTTGCCCAAAGTTGCTTGCTGCTCCTGTTGACTTCAGAGAAAGAACTGGAGCCATAGCAATCCTGAAAAGAAATAACTGAACATGCCCAGAGTTTAAGGCATTAAGCTATGTGCTGGGTCTTAAATTC